AAGATACTTTGAATGTTTCAAGCTACTGTGACTTTAAAAGTTAAATGCAGATTAGATTTGTATCATATTATTACTTAAAATGTTGTAAAAAGATTCAGAGAACAAAGAAAAGGTCAACTTTCAAGCTCTGCATCATGGTGGCAGTTCGCAAATAGGACACGGCAAGATTCCTGAAACACTTTAAACTTTGCAGTGTACTGTGACTGTGCAAGTTTAAAGGTAGCCTTTTTTCCTTAATGTTATAAAATATCAGAAGTGATATTATAAGATGTGAATGGATAACTCTGTGTCCACAGACATGGAGGCCTTTATATAGATGGACTGTTTACATGTATGGAATGAGTATCTCATTTGCAAGTTTTGATGTGCTTTTTTTTCCTGGTATATATTGTTTTGCAATAAAAATGACTTTTTAACAGACTTTAAAGCTTGGAATGTTTTTAAATTGGGCGGTATGACGTGTGTGTCTCTTAGTGTCAGCCCTGTGACAGACTGGTGTGTACTCCACTTCTGAGAATACCCGATGTTCTCGAGTCATGGGAAAGACTCAGGTGTACTAATCCTTTCGAGTCGTTCGTTTTTGTAACGTGATTTGACCACTTTGTTGGACACAGAAACTAGTTAATTTTCAACCGTCCTTACAGTTTTCTTTTACTCTTATTGTTGCGTGATGTATTTATTTTTATTATAAATTAGCTTTTAATATAATTTTTTAAATATCTGTTAATATGGTTCTTTTCCATTACACTGAATGTTTTAATAAAGATTAGATTAATTCTTTAAACTTCATCAGGGAAAATCAGTTCTGAACTGATGAAGCCTCTTGGATGAGAGGTGAAATGTCTTTGACCTAGAAATCTAGTCCAGTTGATTTTTTCTAAGTTATTTTCAGCTTACTATGACCTGGATGACTGAGAATCTGCACAGACTTATTGCCTTATGTTTACCCAGATGTCTGCTGGGATATGCATTCTAACAGTAACTGTGGCTTTCAGTTATCATTTGTTTTAGCTTCCTGACTGTCAGCGTCATTTGCATGAGATCTTTACTGGCAGTGAGTGATGCAAATGGCCCAGTTGTGTTTCCTCAGTCTGGTCAGATAATTTGGCAAATAAATGCTTTCTTTCTGTTGTCATGGTGATAGCATTATAAACACCCACCCTAAAGTTAGTAGTCTAAAATTATTCCTTAAAATGCTTAGTCTGTCAGTAGGCATATTGCAAAACATCCATCCATTATCTATACTGCTTATCGTGAAGAGGGTCACATGTGGTGGGGGCCATCTCTGCTGACATTGGATGAGAGAGAGGGTACAACCTGGACAGGCTCATTCCTATGGCCAATTTAGATTCGCCAGTCGTCTTAACCTCTAGAGTCCCTGCGTCCTCATATGAGGACCGCACAGCTTGGGTTTCCAAAGCTCAGGACTCTAGAGGTTATGCTGCATGTCTTTGGACTGTGGGAGGAAGCCGAAGTACCCAGAGAGAACCCACGCGGACACAGGGAGAACACACAAACTCCACACAGAAAGGTACATGATTGGCCCTGGCTCGAACCCAGAGCCTTCTTGCTGTGGGGTGACGGCATTAACCACTTACCACCCCATATCCCCTGGTGCTGCCCTTACAAAGCATCTTCAGTGCCTAATTCTAACAAATTTAGCCAAACATAAGGTTTTTTTTTTGAAAGAATGGCATAGACTGTACTGTGTCCCCTCAGGGTTGGAGGTGAGATGGTCCTCCTGGTGTCTGCGGCAGCCTGGGGGTCGATGACAGCCTTCACCCCCATCCTGTTCCCAGCCAGTCATCTCGATGACACAGGCCCGTTTCCTCGTGGGCCTGTTGCAAGGCGAGCTGGACAGCTTATGATGAATTGCATCTTGAGATGACTGTAAGTCAGTGAGGTGAAACAATTCTTTTTGTACTCCACTTCTGAGAATACCCGATGTTCTCGAGTCATGGGAAAGGTCGTGCTTCTTCCAGACCTTAAACAATGGGTGTACTCTTTCACTGTCACTATTTCACTTGTATTGTGTGGCATTCAAGGTGTACTAATCCTTTCGAGTCGTTCGTTTTTGTAACGTGATTTGACCACTTTGTTGGACACAGAAACTAGTTAATTTTCAACCGTCCTTAGTTTTCTTTTACTCTTATTGTTGCGTGATGCATTTATTTTTATTATAAAATAAAACAGCCACCCCAAAGTTAGTAGTGTAAAATTATTCCTCAAAATGCTTAGTCTGTCAGTAGGTATATTGCCAAACATACATCCATCCTTTTATCTATACTGCTTATCATGAAGAGGTTCACGGGTGGGGGGGTAATCTCTGCTGACATTGGGTGAGAGGGAGGGTACAGCCTGGTCAGGTGACCAGTCTGTCACTAAGGTGCATGTCTATGGACTGTGAGAGGAAGCCGGAGTACCCAGAGAGAACCCACACGGACACAGGGAGAACACACAAACTCCACACAGAAAGGCACTGGGTCGGCCCAGGCTCGAACCCAGAGCCTTCTTGCTGTGGGGTGACAGCATTAACCACTTACCAGCCCACCCCCCTGGTGCTGCTCTTACAAAGCATCTTCAGTGCCTAATTCTATTCTTACAATATGTCTAACAAATTTAGTCAAAGATAAGGTGTTTTTTTTTTGTTTTTTTTTGAAAGAATGACATAGACTGTCTGTACTGTGTGTCCTCAGGATTGGAGGTGAGAAGGTCCTCCTGTTGTCTGCAGTAGCCTGGGGGTCGATGACAGCCTTCACCCCCATCCTAGCCCACTTCTGTTCCCAGCCTGTCCTCTCGATGACACTGGCCCGTTTCCTCGTGGGCCTGTTGCAAGGCGAGCTGGACAGCTTATGATGAATTGCATCTTGAGATGACTGTAAGTCAGTGAGGTGAAACAATTCTTTTAAGGGTTCGTGCTTCTTCCAGACCTTAAACAATGGGTGTACTCTTTCACTGTCACTATTTCACTTGTATTGTGTGGCATTCATGTCGACGGCAAAGTAAGAATTTCATTCTACAGGGAAACGCGTTTCCTAACTGTGCATATGACAAATAAACACTGACCTTTGACCTCTTGTTTCAGGAACTGGAGAGAATATAATTAGCTTATTTAAATAGCTGCTGTCTGTGTTAAGGAACTAGATGAAGGTACTCATAATGGATGCACACATATACACATTAGAGTCCTTTTAAACTGAGTGAGTTTTTGCTTTTTGCTATGACCAAAGGTTTATCATTTGCCACTTAATGGTCAGTTGTCCTCTGAAACTTTTTTTATTTAAAGAATTTAAGTATTAAAACAGATGTGACTTGTAGGCATCCACTAGAAAGACCACAAAATAAAATTGAGAACATTTTGTTCAACTATAATATGTTGTTTGCTTCGTTTCACTTTTATCTGTAGCCCACAGCTAGTGCAGCTCCTGTGTAGTGTCACATGGCAAAAAATTGAAAACTTTTATAGACCTCAGTTAGTGACTGGTATGGCATGTAATGTGTTTATTTTGTGGCACCGCCATCTTTGCTTTTCATTTGATTACTTTGTTCAAGGATCAGAATGAATATTTGTCATTGGTGGGGTGATTTACCAGTGGCTTTAAATGACTGTTGACAGGAAACCCTTGTTACAAAACATAGTTGCTACCATTTATGGATTCAAACAATTCAGCACCTGCTTAAGCATGTTCTACACTATTGATATTACTCAAAAAAAATGTCCACATCTCTTGTTCTGTGCAATGAGGTGTTAAAAAAATCATTGCTCATGAAATCATTGCTGTTGCTCATGAAATTCTTCCTGGGATTTCTTTCTACATAAACATTGGCTGATTGTGTTTTCCGTCTTGATCTAAGGAGTTCATTACCCTTCTCTGGCAAGTCTGTGCTCCCAAAAGGTGGTGGAAAGTGAGAGAGGCTTCCTCATGAGCACTGTGGGTAGTGGCTCCTACCTTGGGTGAGTCAAGTGTTGTGCAATTAACAGGAAATTGTGGAAAACAGATGAGTGTTTCATATGTGGAGCCTGATGTATGTTTGTTTTCATGTTCCTCTCAGGATTTTTATGTGCCCAATCCAGTATGTTACTATGTTGTGCTGGTGTGATTGGTCTTGTCTTGTGACCATGTTTTTCAGCACTTTAGTGATCGGAGGGGCTGGCTCCCTTATGTTGGACCTGTATGGCTGGGAGAGTGTTTTCTATGTGTCTGGTCTCCTCTCAGTCCTGTGGGCCTACTGTATGTGGAAATATCTACTCAAAGGAGAAGGGAAGGAAGGCTTTTAATGTGCCGGCAGTATTGGTGTCAGTGTATGCTCTCATCTTGTAGTTGTCTGTTTGTATAATTGGAGTCATTGTCCTGTTGTACTGTATGCCCATGTGACTGTGTTCGCTGTTTTTGCAGGCCCTATCATTACCCTTGAGTCCCTGGGAAGTGCCGGGCCCCAGTCCAAACTGACCAAAAGGCATTGGTTACGGCTCTTCAAACAACCTGCAGTCTGGTGAGATAAAGATAAAGGAAGTGAACAAAATTAGGTGCGAGTGCTTACACAAGCTTTTGTGCGTGTTTGTTCTCATATGCTTATGAATGGGCAGCTGTAAGTTTGGCTGTCCTACAGAGTTTGAGTCAAGAAATTCTCTCATGATCCTCTGGCTTTATACATCATTCAAAGCCCCAGAATGCTGGCTCAGTGTATGTGTTTTGCAGCTGCGGAAATATGAGCTCACAGCTGATCTAGGAAATAAGAAATCTGAAGAATAGTTTAAAAAATATAAAAACATCTCTGTCTTGGCAGATCACAATTTAGAGAGTAAGGTGGTTTCTGTAATGCAGCTGTTTCTGTGGACTCCGATTCAGCTGTGTATATGTACCAGGTTTGAGAACAGTAAATCTCCGGTTGCCTCAGATGTCTCTTCATGTCTCTGGTACTGATTTCTTTCATGTCCTTTCAGTCGCTTCCTACGGCCTAGAAACGTACATTTGTAATGCAGCCGATATGCTCCATTTCCACCTTGAGGGTAACAGATTGGATGATAGCTATGGTCTCACAAATACTCACAAACCAACAATTCTTTCAACCACATACTACTTGCCTTAACACAGATATGACTTGGAAAACCATCAATGTTGAACAAGTAGCACATACACAAGCTTCTGTCAAACCAATGAAACGGTGTTCAAAAGACAGGACAATACGTTAACAACAACCTCTGGCGTGTGTAAATGTAGTTGCGATGCACTTTTTTCACTGTTTGTCTCTTTCTGTTTCCTTGAGCAGTGCTGTGATTGTTACGCACCTTTGCGCAGCGAGCACTTTCTTCACTCTTTTGTCATGGCTGCCAACATTCTTTAAAGACACTTTCACAGATGCCAAGGTAACTGCAGTACCCTTTCATCCACCTTTTGACCACATATTTGACACAAAGGCTACAGGAACAATGATTAAAGCAAAACAGCCATGAGGGTTAAATCAAGAAAGACCTGACATTTATTTAACAAGATTAGAGCAGACCCAGCAGCCCTGTGAGGCTGTAGGCACAGCAGTGCAACATGCTGATGACAGCGAGCTGATGTGCTGGTGTTACGATAACAACATTTACCATGTCCACCAAGATAGTTTACCATGTCAGCAAGCTTTCATTTGCTTTGAGGCTGATGGAAATGTCATTAGTTTTGTATTTATCTGGTCATAAACTAGTGGTGGACACATTTAAATTGTGACTGTATGGTGACACTAGAAAAAAACATCAGGTGATCACCAAAGTCTTTATGGCCCTGTTTACAATATTAAAATGCACCTCAGTGATCTGAACACAAGTGGATAGTTGTTCGCACCTGTCAATATACACGTCTCCAAGTTCCCCAGCTTGGACCACTCATTTTCAGGTTTTGCTACAGCTGCTTAAACATCGAAAGGCCACAGGCACAACCGTTACATCAGTCTGTTGACAGTCAAGTAGTCAACTTAACCAAAGGAGAAGAAGAAGACAAACATCAGATTTGTACATGGATGCATTCTGAAAGCTTTCACAGTACAGTGAAGATTTGTATCTGGTATTTCTCTCTATTTTTTTTTTATGAATGTTGGTGCACTATCACCAAAGCAACCACCATTTTCTGCATTCCATCCATCCATTATCTATACAGCTTATTCCTGAAAAGGGTCATGGGGGGCTGGAGCCTATCCCAGCTGGCCCTGGGCGAGAAGCAGGGTACACCCTGGACAGGTCTGTCCTGCATTGATGATGTATTTTCTGAAAATGGCCTTGTTGGAGACTCATCAGGACACTTTAGCATTTACACTACAAAACATATGTGGTCAAATGCATCCCAGACCACATCAGCAAGTGGTTTCAGTGATTGGATCATAATCTGTCTTGGTGGTTGTTTATTCTTGTATTTAGTCACTTGTTGTCTGATCGCCCAGGATACATTTTATTTATTTATTTATTTATTTATTTTGAACAATAACATATAACAAGGCAATAAAAAGCATTCGATCCATACAAGGTATAGTCACCTTACATTAACAACATAGATCAGTGATTTGCTCAAAACGGAATGGGAAGAAGTCAAACTTATTTAAACCCACCCCGGTCTGTTACAATTAAAACAAAAGAACATAATAGCTGCTTCCTTAATTCTTAATGTTAACAAAAACTTTCAAATTACATATATACATATAAATATACCCATGTAAAAGGTAAAAGAAAACAAAAAAAAAACATGATATATCTTAGATACTATGGAAGCCAAAACGCCTCAAGGAAAAGTCACAGGATCACCACTGTCAATAGGTTTCATCTTTTAGGCATGAATGTTTGTATGAAATGTCTTGATAACAGTCCATTAGATAATATGATATTTATTCTGGACCAAAGTGACCAAGCAATATTTCCATCCACTGAGTCCCACTGACAGTGTGGCTAAAAAAACCAACCCACTATAACAAAATGATCGAATGCGCCGTTTCTGGTAAAGTTCATTCAGCTCAGAAAACAAAATGCATTGTCCCTCTAGGGCTGGGTGTTTAACGTCATTCCTTGGTTTGTTGCCATTCCCTCATCCCTCCTCAGCGGCTGCCTGTCCAACCACCTCATCGGCCAAGGTAGAGAAACCAAGGAATTCTTTTTAAATCTAGTTTATTATTGACAAAGCAGTGATATAATTTCCTGTTGTAATTTCTGTCTTGATCCCCTTCAGGCTTCGATACAGCCTCCGTGAGGAAGTTGATGCAGGTACAATATTTGACAGTTGCTTCATTATTTTGTTTAGTCTTTCTGTAGATTTCCTTCTACTCACACAGTGTGAATGTTCTTTCCTCTTTACACTTTCACATAATGCAGATATTGTTTTTATGTGGTTTTGTGTGCACATATTCCTCTCTCTGTTTTTCTCCATGGGTGTGTCCAGTGCGTTTACCCTTCTTCTATGTAACAACCCCACCTTTCCCTGAGCTGTAGCATTTGTGTCCACCACCATGGGCCTCACCACCTTCAGTCACAGATACTGGCACCTACAGTGTTCTCGTATTCTGTCACTGCCCCTGAAAACAACATTTCTTATGCTTGTTGTTGTAGCTGTGATTGTTGCACTTGGTCGCAAGGATGAACTAAGTAGATGTCGGTGGTCAAAGGCCAAGGTCACAGTGACGTCATGTCTGTCCCATTCCCATGAATTTGATTGGTTATGGAGGCATACCCCCACAAAGTGCTAATTCTAGTTAGATTTAAATGTGGGGTTCCCCAAGGGTCAGTGTAGCAGCAAAGCCTAAAGTTAAATGTTTTCCATAACCATGGTTCCATAAATCCAACACATCATATTATGTGGCATGGTGTTGTAAAGCGTGGAGTGGAGCAGAGTGCAGCGATCAAAAACCGTTTGCATCCTCCATCTAGCAACACCTGCCACCCGACTGATGGTTCCTACCAACAGCATATTGCATCTAACCCCTGCACAAAGTGACACCTACTGGTCTCCATAGTGACTTTACATTATAAATGGCTCCTACAGGTTAGTGTGTCAGTTTTGTTTTGTGTGCTCCCTAATGGTGATGACAATACATTCATTTCCATTACAATGCAGAGAGCACCACATAGTAGTAAATATCCCACCATATTTTCCAGAGAACAAGATACGATGTGGCTCATACAGCTCGGCTGATATTAGACCTGCAGTTAAAAAGTGTGGTGTGCTGTTTAACTTTGTGTTTTTGCAGTCTTTGCTTTAATTAAGGAACCTTAATTTATTATCCTTTATTTGTCCTGTAAAATGTAATGCCTGCTAAAATTTGGTGATTGGGTGCTTACATTCTTAATAACGCTATTTAAGTTTCAAAAGCAGTGTTTTCAGCAAAAGAAAGTAAACCGTGCTTTTGCTATGGGCTACTGAGTTATTTACACAGCAGGACAGTGGATGTGGAATTGAAACATAATCACACGTTTGAAGAAATAGGCTTAAAATAGTTTTTTTTTGTTTTTTTTATGTATTTTCACTGTGTTATTTTAAAGGTCCTCTATAGTTATATTAGAAATACTGCAGTAATAGTTGTATAGCACTAGGATTTTATACTTTCACGTTTCAACATTTAAAATATGATAACAGTGTTGTAAAATGATATAAATCGCAAAATTTGAGATCAGCTACTGTGTTTCACAAATACTAAAAAAAAAAGAGAGACCATTTTCAAAAGAACAATAAAAATAAAATATAAGTCTCCACTAATTAACTGGACCCAGTTAGTGTGTGTGAAGCTAAATGTGCATATTTATCACACAGGCCATTAATGTAAACACATTACAAAGTGAATGTGGTACATTTGTCTGGTATTATGTTGTTTTTACTGCCAACAATTGCCATGAAATGTCCAAAACCTACAGTGGGTTAGTCTATTTCTTAACTTTCCAACTTCAAGTAGGGTGTGTATTTCAGCCCCAAGCCTTGTTGTTGCTACTGAGGGGTTCTTTTAAAATCAGAATCAGAATCAGCTTTATTGGCCAAGTGTGTTGGACACATGAGGAATTTGACTCTGGAACATCGATTCTCAATGTGTATGTACATATCCCCATGCAAGGGGCAAGTAAACAGTAAACCAGCATAAGGCTGTGTAATATAACAACATAAGCAGTATTAACAGCAACATTGACAGCAACAAACAGTGCAAACAATGCAGAATAAGCAGTATAAACAGACAGTAAACAATGCAGACAAACAAGGAATGTTCACTGGAATGAGATAAATAGGAATACAAACAGAGTACTTAAAACTAGAGACCTGTACAAGTCTGTATAATGTAAAAACAACAGGTCAAATAAATAAATAGTGTAAGAGGCACTGTGTACATTTGGTGTACTGAGAAGTAGGAGGACAGGGTATATGGCTCTGTCTCAAAATAATCTACTGTACAGTGGTAATGCAAGTTCCTGTGACCTGCCGATGTGTTTTTAATAGCTTGTGGACAACAATGGAGGATGGTGGCACAGAGGAATAAGGCTATGACAGACAACACTTGTCAGTAAGATCAGTTCATTGTTGGTTTTGGTCTTTTCATGGGCTTTGTTGACAATAATAAAAATTCAGCAGTCCTTTAAAGAGATTTTTTTTGTGGTAAATATGCATATAGGCTATGTATACCACATTTACCGTAATGATGTTTGAAAGTTTTCTCAAATTCTAAAATTATACTTAAATGTACAGATGCGCATTGCATTCACCAAAGGAAACAAATGGAGGATCTTATCTCAATTATGACAGGATCTCATAGTTACAAGATGTTTTTCTTGTAATTATGAGATAATTCAGGGATTGGAGCGCTGCAGAACCTGCCAGAAAATCATCTGTTTATAACAAATTCTTTAGTATCAAAGTAATTCAGTGATAGCTGTCACTGCATCCAGTGGTGCATAGCAAAAGTGAACTGTTAATAGCTAATTCAGCATACTTTGTGTTCCAAAACAAACCAATATAGGCTAAATAGGCCTCACAGTTGCTGCCTACATTGTAACTTGCTCCATACACGTACTGAGCGGAAGTTGGAAAGCTTCAGAACCTGCTTCCTGCTTGAGAAACACTGGGTTTTTAGGTTTTTCCTCAGTAGACCATTCATGTAATTCTGACAGCACATCCAACAAAATGAACTGCTAATAGCTAATTCGATGTACTTAGTGTTCCAAAATGTAAACATTGCCTAGTCTAAAAAATGGTGCCCACACTGTAACACTATGTATCTATGGCAACATTACGCAGCCTACACTTTGTTTCTTGTCAAAGTTTATTATATCTTTTCACACAAATGATGAATATTAACATTTAATGTTTTGTCATAACTACAAGAGCTGGAGATCAGGAGCTTGTAATAGGCTACACTGGTTATTTAAGAAGACAGAGGCATTTCTATTCTACCTCATTTAATTGTCAAGATCCTAGTGTATAGGATATTAGGCTATCTGTAGAATAAATGAGTTTTAATATAAATGTTTTTTTATAGTATTTTAGAAAATGTCACATTAAAGATTAGACCATGTGAACAGATCATACTTTTACAAGAACCGGCAAGTATAATGTTGCCATAGGTTTCAATACAAGTTGCTGTGGGCTGCAGATTGGGCGCCGTCTTAGCCTATGTTTGTTTATGTTTTAGAACAGTAAGTACGCTTAATTAATTATTAACTCCTGCTCAGTGCATGTAGTGAGCTACACTATACACTATAGGCAGCAACTTTGAGGCCCATTTTTCAGCTATTTTTGTTTTGGAACACTAAGTATGGTGAATTAGCCATCAACACTTCACTTTTGCTACTGGATGTAATTAACTACTTTGACAGTCAAGATTCGTTAAAACCTGACGATTTTCATGCAAGTTGCGCAGCATTCCAACCTCTGCATTATCTCTTAATTACAAGAAAAAGAACTTGCAATTATGTGATAAGATCCTACAGCTTATTCTTTGGTAAATGCATTGCGCTTCTACAGAAACTACCACTAGAGTGTTCAAACTGTTAAAATATCCTAATGAGAATTGCTATTGACCAATTTTATTGATTAAAAACTTTTTGAACTAAAAATGTAAGGGAGCAGTAGGTCTGTGAACCTACGGAAGAGGATCAGGGCCACTGTCCCAAGAACAAAGCATAAGCTTAGAGGCAATCGAGCCTTCGCAGTTGCTGGTCCCAAACTCCTGTCCATTACACAAGCCTCTGCCCTGTCTGTTTTTAAGTCTCTTTTAAAAACTAATTTATTTTCCCTTGCATTTTGATATTTTATTTTTGTGTTGATTTAGTCATTTATTATATTGATTATATTTTATACTGTTGTTTGTGGGTTTATAATACATACTGTTTTATTGCAATGTACAGCACTTTGGTTGTTTTTAGTGCTTTATAAATAAAGTTGGTATGGTATGGTATGGTACTGTACAAAATTTGAGTTCTGACTTGAATCTCAGAATTCTGACTCTGAGTTTAAATTCAGAACTCAAAAAAACGTTGTCCAGTGGCCCTGATCCTCTTCTGTAGTGGACGTGATGGTCATTGGATTTTGTTTTGAACTGAGAAAACCAAAATCTGAAGAAGAAAAAAAATCTAATTGCCATTTAAAAATAGGGAAACAAAAACAAGGGTCATTATTTATTTTAGTAATAAACCACAGAAAATGAAAAACTGATTTTGTTTGATATGTTTATAAATGGAAACTGGGAATTAAAGTAGCCTACATGCATTCAATTTCAGATCTGTGGGCCTGTCTGTTTGACTGAGGACGGAGCTTAGCTACATACACACAAAGTGCAGGTCAGAGGCCCCAGCAGGACAGACAGGAGGATGAAGTGTGTGCTTTGTGCATCACACAAGATCCTACCTCACAGGGTTGTGCAGAGTTGTAGCTGTCTTTATTTGTGCTATAGAACATAACCACCAGGATACAATCAGAAAATAACATTTTATCACTTTGATTCACTGTTCTATTCTTGCTAAAAAATAAAATTGCTCTCTCTTTCTCTCTTAGTGGAGTGGAAAATTGCACCCAGATTTCACTGCCTGCTGAGAGAGAAAGCATGGATGTGGCTGAGCAAGGGAGAGAGTGAATGCATGTAGGCTACTTTAATTCCTGAGTTCCATTTATAAACATATTAAACTAAACCAGATAACGACTGTTTGTTTTGTTTTCTGTGGTTTTCTGTTACAATGAAAAATGACCAGTTGGTCACTTTTTTGTTTCCCTATTTCTAAATGGCAACTGGGAAACAGTCCATTTCCCGACTTTGGTTTTCTTATTTCAAAATGAAAATCCTTTGGTTGCCAAGTACACAGACTGCAGTAAAGAGAGCAAGGAAAGGAAGTAAATAAATGCGTTGGCTTGTATTAGTCCCCTCATAGTATACCAAAGTCCCACAGCCATCTAAAATTTTAACAGTGATCCAGAAGCTTCAAAATGTCATTTAGGCACTGACCTGTACCTTTGACACACAACAAGATGCAGTACAGTTGGTTAGTCCTACCCCTTCAGTTTCTGTGTCACACATTTAATGCGCATATTTTCTCTGAGGTTGCGCAGGCGCGCGCTGCGGCTTGTGATCTCCTCCACATAGGTTTTGGGGAACCAGCCCCGTTCCCCATCGGACAGTCTGATGCCTTCCACCCAACCTAGTGAAAGACAACATCCCTTAGACATCAAACAAACCACTACACATTCTTATCTGCTGCTTGTTTACAGCCAGTGAGAGACACACAAGCTTAACAGCTTATGGCCAAATGCAGTTTATCTGAAAGAGGACTTGATCCAAGTTCTTACCATCACTTGTAATGGTCTTAGCGTGAAGAATGTCGGCCTTTTCAAGTGTTAGCTCATCATGCTCTTGGGCCTGGTAGCTTTTGATGCACTGAACCTGGGATATATCTAAGATGATAAGGGAAAATAAAGATGAATGAGTGGACTGAATGGTTTACGCTGATTCATTGTGGACTTCGGCTCCTTACTCACCGTCATTCTCATTTGCTTGCTCGATGTCTTCAAGTGGGTTGGATGGAAACATTGCTGTGATCCATCTCTGCTTCCCACTCCTTGGTAGACACAAAACCAATGAGGGCAGTTAGAGCACAGTCTTCCTAAAGCATTTGGTTTTGAATGACACAGAATGATTGTTGAGAGATTCTGGGTAAAGTTTTGATACCCACTCAGTGTGTGATTTGAGCAGGATGTGGTGCTTGAGCTGCTGGCCTTCACACAGCTGCAGGTGAAAGATGAAGCCCGAGACGCCCAGCAGCTTCTGACTGAGATCCTTCACTTTCAGTTCTCCTATCTTGGCATGCACGAACACCATAAACTTCCATGTACTGTAAAACAAACAAACAAAAGTCATTTTACTATCAAGATCAACAGTGACAGTACAAGAGTACATATCTAAATATTTTACAGCTGGTGAAGTTTTAAAGCCACCATGTGTAGAATTTTTATTTGGTTATAGCATTTTTCAAATTATTTTGATGGGATATGTTTGTGTTTGCAGAAAAATTAAACATTCCCAGTGAAATTTTGTGCAGTCTGTGTCGCTTTCAGCCTGTTTAATGTTGGTGCCCTCGGTCGGATCAATAGGACTGGCCATATGTATGTTGAAAGAGTATTGGCTGTGAAGAAATACCTATGTGCAAAAGTAAGATTATGTGCAAAAACACATTCTAAACTAGAGCCAAAGATAATATGAGACTTCAGCAGACTGAGTGAAACAAAATAAAATGCATATTATTGAAATGTTGCAGTCTTTTTAACAGAAATCCCCTTTCTGTGTGTTGCTGCGCTGTGGTGAAAGGATACATCCTGGTAGTTCATGAAGTCAGAACTGAAGTCGTTTTCCTGTAGCACAGTGGTTGAGGCAAACCACAATCAAAGCAAAGTTCAGGCTAGATATGGTGAATTAATGGGCAGTGTTTCCCCAGAACAATTTTCAGGCACGGTTGCAAGAGTATGATAGAGGTTTTGCACGCAGACGCTAAAATTGGATATATATTTCTCACGCAACACAACGCTTTTGGTTGGTAACTTCTGTGTAAAGATCATGTAAAACGAGAGTATTAAGATTGTACCCGAAGTGTTTTTTTAGCATAAAATATAATTAAATGCTGTACATAATTAAACAAAATTTAAAATATCATCTGTTTATGCTCTCATGACCTCCATAGTCCTAAAATTGTGGCCACGGCTCTGCTCCTGGGATGGAAATGCATAATTGATTTGACTAATTTAAACTGCTGAGGCCTCATATTAGCTATGACTAAACAGTGTGCATTCTTCATGAAATTAATCTGTGACCTTTGTTCCCCATTCATAACAGTGCTTAGAGGAATCACTTCATAATTACAGCCTAGTAACATTTTCAACATAGATCTTGCATGTGAGCATTGTATTAGATAGAATAACTAGGAAAATACATTTTCTGAAGGTTCCTTTGCTCTGTGCCACAAGTAATCAATCAGTGGAATATTGGTCTCTTGGTATCAACTGCCTCACTCACTCCTTCCTCCTGGACAGCAGCAGACAGTCATTGAACAGATGGAGATACACAGGCTTGGTGGGTAGCTTGAGCTTTGATCCAGAAATACTCATCATCTGAGTGTCCACTTCCAGGAGTTCACCGTGTTTTACCAGCCAGCGGGACTGAGAGATCAGAGGAAAGATCTACAAAGACAGGAAATGCATTACTAAATTATTAAAACAGCAAAAAAATGTCAAAAATAAAGATGATAAAGTGAATCCTATATCCTCAGGGTTGAAAAAAACATTCACAATGATGTTAGTCACCTTTCCCTCAAAATGAATTTTCTTATTGAGATGAATAAGTTCCTCCATCCTCTTCATTGACTGCACACTGGAGTTACATTCTTTGATGATCTGAGAAGACACATACCAGCATGGTTATTACTGTTGTGCCTCACCAGTGATAATACTTGTACGCATCCAACTGGCTATTAGGGATGATAATCACCACCTTTTTTAGCTCATTGAAAGCTTTCGTGGCAGTGTCCTCATCTCGAGAGCCTGGCGTCGTCTTCTTTAAGATATTCTGAAAAAAATAAAGATGGGTCTTGAAGACATGCCAAAAAGTAAACAATAGTCCTGTCAGGCACTGTTGGGGAAGAAACTTGCTGCTGTGAATTGATTGGCCAGTCCCAATATTATTCCAGTTACTCCCTGTAATTGGGTTTCAAGTGCACATGTGAATTCTGCAGTGAATGTTTAATCCTGTACCTCCACCAGCATTTTAAGCCGTGTGATCCTCTGAAACGGAAGGATTAGAAAAGAGGTCAGAGGAAGTCTTTGGCAGATGGGGTCCTCCTCCAAACGAGCCAGGATGCCAGGGAAACGAGGGCTGTCGTGTCTGAGAGGACAAGATGTGGAAATTTAGAGAAACACTTTTAATGACTGAAAATTCAGGCATGTTATTTACTTTGAGAAAAAAAATTTCTTAAAGCTTTCTTAAAATGAACCACCTGCAAGTCATGCAGGTGTAAAACAATACCTGAACACCCTTAGAGGAAATTATGGACATCTATCCAAAAAACTATTGGACTTAATGCACCACCGCTGAGAGTGAATATAATGCCTGCATATACAGTATATTCAGGTCTCAATCAGCTGATATGCTATATATACACAGTAATTAAAGCGATTACTCACAGCAAACGTTGGTATGTCTGCTCTTGGTATGCTTGGTTGGTTACATAAGGTAAGTACACCCTGCGCAGAGCCGGGCAGTGATCCAGAACGATGTCACACACATCAAAACGCAGAATGTCTTCTTCCAACCTGTGCTCCAGGTCCTGCAGAAACCTATAGGCAACATGTGAGCGGAAAATACATTCAGAAGCAGACGTGATAATGGAGGTGTTAAAATAAAGGCTTGAGGGTAAAAGAGGCACATTAGTGACTATTACTTCACCTCTCACTGACATCTTTGACTTCAGGCAGCTTGGAGAAGAGCCACTGCTTCTCTTGAGCTCCCAGACACTCAGAGAGCTCCTGCGACAACATGAAGTGGTCCACCGCAATCGTCAAACTACGAATGTACGATGCTTCAGAAGTCACCAGCTCAAACTTTGCCTGAGTTAAGAAAGACAGTATTTCAGCCTCATGATTTAAGAAATAGTTGTGTCACCCCAGAGAATTTAATCACACCCAGATGCAAAGAGAGTTATTTATTCACCTCCTGCAACTTTCTCTCCTCGTTGCTGAAGTTGTCGAGCTGACCGCTGGTTCGCACATCGGGTATGTCTTGCCACAGTGCAAAAGCAGAGCCTTGTGAGGAACGGAAGGAGCTGGATGGAGACAGATTAGATGGAGACGGGGTCCAGTCTGAGCCCTCGTCCCTGAGCCCCTCCTCCTCTGTGCCTGGCTCCTTCCCCTGTTGCCTCTGGATCTCTCTGTTGATGGCAACATCGCTGTATTCCTGGTACAGAATTGCTGCAGGAAAAAGCAGGAGGCAAAAAATAAATAAATAAATAAAAATGAAACAATTAAAAAGGTGGTTACAGGAAAATGCAAGCAAGACTACAGGTGCAACAGCTAAACAATTATGAAAAACAAATCTCTCTGGGAAACTTACAACTTGGCAAAAACCGTGATAAGCGATTGGTGCAAGCAACAGATGGAACTGTGCCTAAGTCTTCCTCTATGGATTTCTTTCGCAATCTGTACAAAAAATGTAAAATTCTATTAGTATATGGCATATAACCTTTATGCTTTAATATTTTAAATTCATATTTACCCCAGTTTTGAGCTCCACCGATGCAAAGGCATCCCATTGTCACTGCTGGGCAGAGGTGGCACAGGTTCTACAGGACTGTGGGGGGCGCTATCACTAGAGCCTCCAGAGCTGCGCTGCTTGGAGTTAGACTTACCTGGAGAAGATATAAAGCAGGTAATGCAGAAATGGCAACAAGGGAAGAGACAAGAGACATCATATATGCTTTAATGCCCTGTGTTTAAGCCCTTATGTCAACATTCTCTGTTGTTTAAGCTCACTTGCTTATGTCTTCTTAATCAGTATACAAATATACATTTTTTAGCCTTTTAAAATAGAGCTGCAGGGAAGAATTACTTTCTTTTTTCAGGCTTTTAGTGTCATAAAGGACAGCTTCAAATTTTTCAAGTCTGTTTTAGACTAAACATTCTCATGATGTGGAATCTAATGGTCTACTCACAGTCCGGGCTGGAGCTGAGGCTATTGGAGCTCTGTCTGTCTCTGGAGGCTACGCGTGCAGACAGCGATTTGCCCAGCTTCAGAGTGAAGGAGTTCTTCTTTTGGGAGAGCTGCAGTCTAGATATCAGCTCTGAAGCTGAGAAGCGCCGTCGCTCTTGGTCCCCTTGACGGCCACGCAACATAAAGCTCCCCCCAGTGGCATTTGACATCTCCCTACTCCCGTCATTTTCCTCCACTCCTGTTACTGAGTGCTCAATTATGTGCAGTGGTTCTGCAGGTAGACTGAAAATATCACCTCCACTGAGGTTTGGGAGGTCTGTAACACCGTCTGTGGATGAAGGACTTGAAATGGCCTCCAGGGAAGATAATCCACTGAGTTCCTCCTCCAGGAAAGATGCAAAAGGTCCAGGGAAGATGTAGTCTGCAATTGGGCTGCTGAGAGATTCATCACTCAGGCTGTCTGGGGAATAAACCTGCATCTTTCGCCCTGGAAACAAGAAAATATCTTTTTTAGGTCAAGAGGAAGCATGTAAAGAGTTTCTAAAATGTAATTGTTATTTAAACTTTGTCTGTGAAAAAGTGCATGCTCACGGATAGACTTCTCTTTCAGTGAATGCTGTGATGTTCTCCTTTGTGGCTGGCAGGAGTCAGGGCTCTGACACCCAGCACCTTCAGATGAGCATGGTGAGCAAGGCAACTGAGATTCCCAGGAGTCTCTGTTTGTGTATAGAGAGGACAGAGGGAACGACAGAGGGAGGCTAAGGGCTGCGTGTAGAGGACGACATACTGTTGTAACAATTCGTGACTTTTCAGTTTGCTCCTGCAAAGAAGTCCTGAAGTCATCATGGCATTCAAGGTCTCCGTCACCCGCAGATGTATGAGAGTTCAAATTCACTGCTGTTTTGTGTTCACTGTCTGTCCTGTGGCAGCCGTTCTGCATTTCATTCAGTTCATTTAGAGTGTGTCTAAAACCATTCAGTGGTGGGAAGTGTGTCGTGCATTGTGCATCAGTTGATCTCGGAGAGCCAAGACTGTTTAGTTTAGGAGTCACTGGTGGCTGCAGCTCGATAAAAGCCAATGTTTCCTGCTGGCACACAGCAACATGCTTGTGTTGGCATGAATGGAGGAGAGGCCTATCCTCCTGGGCCTCGCTCAGAGTCTGGGACTCTCCTGAGCCAGGGATCCACATACTGGGACTCTCTGCTCGGCAGCAAAAAGCGTGAAGGTGGAGTTGAAAATCAGGAAAAGGTGAGAATCCATAACCAGGGAGCATGTCTGAACAAATACATGGGAGCTGTGAAAGAAGAAAGGGAAATGAAAACTTGTATTCAACTTTTATTAATGTAAAACACTACAGACTGTTTTCTCGGGTCACTGTGCCTGCAGTTTAACCACCAAGAGCCAATCAAAGAGGAAAAATAAGTTTACACACAGTCACTACGGCTTGACAATGTTTGTTGTGTTAGCTTACATAGTGATGTACTGTAATTTAGCAAGCTAGAGAAAGAATAGCGGCAACCATGAAGATGGACCAGGAAGTTTTCGTGAAGAAATTTCACACACCTTCTGTAATACCATATGGAGACGGTTTCACTAAGACAAAATGCAGTATCTTTCATTACTGACACAGAGAACACATTGTACATAATCTTATGTCTTTTAAAATTTCATCTGTTTATTTTATGTTTTCTTTGGTTGCGTTAATTCAAAGACAAGTGCACGACAGTTGGCTGCAGTAAAGTCCATTCATAATTATAAAAATATTCATAATTTAAAGTCAAATATAAATATAATTAGCAAATGTTTTTGTTCTTTTTTGCTTTATTATTAGTGCATCATTTATAGTCCAACACTGTGCGGTGCTGTAGTTATTCTGGTGGAACAGTCCAGACTATATAGTTAAGGGATTATAAACAGCTGGACAAAAAGAGTGATCAGAGATTAATGGACTTTAAAACTAGTCAGTATTTTGTAAATGCAACAAACAAAAATGCATAAATTCACCCTGAAAGCCCATCAAGTGAGTGCAGTTTAACATTTTTTAAACACTTGTTCAACTGCACTGACATTACAATATGCAGGTTGATGGTAACATGATTCAATGTCACTTTCATTTAAATTTTACCTGGGCAAATGTGGACCCGAACCTGTGTGTTGGAAGACATCTAGACATGAAGATAAGACAGATGTAGATTAGAAAAGGAGGAAGTTAAAACAAATTTAGTTTGGTGTCCTATGCAATAAGGATATCAGGATTATAAATATTATAGCCTGTTCAGATTTCTCTTTTTGTTATCTGTCATCATGTGGACAAAATGGGTTGGGAACTGTCTAAAATCACTTGTGTGTTTCTAAATAAATATCTGAAGAAAACAAAAGGAAACCTGAGGTAACAAAACTGGAACGCTTCATCAAAAGACAAACTGGTGTGTTAGTAAAAACCAACACAGCAACAAACCAGTTATTCTGCAAACCAGTTATTCTGCAATCAAACAGTCGACTGAACTCACTGTGACTGACTCGCCAGAGGATTCTGCAGACCCAACACAGTATATTCAGTTGCTGTATAATGAAGAGTAAGCAGTGTTATGCAAGTTTAATAAACTTCAGCCAACTTTAAGTCCATGACATACAGAGGGAATGACTTTCTAAAATGGCTTCTGTATATTTTTGGGATTCATGTAGCCTCATTAACACACACACACACACACACACACACACACACACACACACACCTGGAAATAGCAAGATGAACCCCAGAACTACTGGCATATGCGGAATGTTTCCCAGAGTATATACACAGACACACATGCACTGTACATGCATGGACACACAATCACACACGCTTAAGTCTGGTGTAGTGCGTCTCCTGAGCTGTGTCTTCCTGAGCTAATTAAAGACCACTCTGCACACAGCATTCTGCCCCTATACTTAACACATGCACCAGCTGCAGACAGAAATACCACAACAGACGAACAGACAGAGGAAGAGCGCACATCCTCAGCACTCTCACTTTTCACCTGAGAGCTGCACTCATCTATCAATGTGGTTGTTGGTTTACTTCCCTGTCAGTGTACATTAGCTAGTAGGCACCTTTTGCGATTGAATATTTACAGGGTCTGCCGAAACCCTGCAACAGGTCAAAGTTACAGTCGCTCTACTGACAGGCTGTTTAAACACACACCAGTGGAGCTTGGTCTCTTTCACCCTCCTGCTTCCTGAGCAGCTAATCCTTAACTTCTGACTTAAACACCGGGTAAAACGAATGGTGCACACAAACATAAAACACACGGCCTCATACACTCAATTTAGTCACATTCTCACAGGTTCACATCATTTGGTCCTACATTCAAATCACTGTCAACAGCAGCATCTAATAACCAAAAGATGTTCATGTCTAAAATACTTCTGTTGTTTGGCAGTTAAAAGATATTTAGTTCTTGTTCTCCCAGGTCATGTGTGCTTTTGTGAATTACTAGACTGCAGAGCATTAGCATTTAGCCTACTGGTATCATGGCCACATTATACTAGTTTCAGTATTGTTTCCTGTGTGGATACCAGTTGCTTTTCCTGTCTGTTTAGCAGCCCCCCCCACCCACACACACAGAAAGATAAATGTGACTGAAAGGGTACAGCAGTCCATGTTTAGCTGTCTCTCAACCATTTTAATCATAATACTTTGCAAGAGTCATCCCAACAGCAAAGATTACTCTTAGACACCACAGACTATCTTTGGCAAAAGTCCAAAAATTCAAGCCTTAACTATTTATTCTCTAAGGTTATAGGATTTTTTTTTTTTTTTTACTGAACAAGCAGATGGGTCTGTTCAGTTATTCTAGAATTTTAGCTACTGTGGATGTTCAAATGTCTGTGTTTTCTGAGGACTAAAATGTTTACTTAAGAAAAACATAGTAAATAATAGGAAAGCAGAAGTTATTAAAACTGACTTTGGGTCAGTGACAATTCCAAACTTAAAACTTAAGAGATTGGTGACAAAAATAAACAATGTATTGTTTTCTGACCAGTTGCCAAAGCCACATCATCTTACTTTTTTTTGTGAGCAGCCATTATCTACTACAAGCACACATAAAAATCAAATGATTTCAGTCTGCACACTGGCATTTTTAAGCCCATCTCAGTCACTTCACTTTGTTTTTCCACTTTAATCTGCCACATACCCTCAAAATACAACATTAGTGTACTGTATAGTGAGCAATCTAGGGCACAGAGAAAGTCATGCTGTGAATTGGTAACTTCTCTCTATGGTTGTTCACAACCATACACACATACTACAGGCTTGGGGTCAAGAATAATTCTGAGAAATTATATTCTTCAATTCATATATTCATATTTGTATTTTAGAGTTTAATGATCATACTGAAACAACATTTCTGAGATACAGATGTTTTACATTTACATTAGCAGCATCACTTTTAACCGTACATCTGTAATTTACATGTTCACAGGGCTGTCCCTTAAGGGCATAAAAGCATAATGCTTTTTGTAAAAGAGTAACTTTGTTTATAGTGGTGTTTGTTTTTGCACAGAGAGTCACAGACTGGATGTCACAGCTTACCATCCTACTGTGTTTACTGAGTGCACATGTGCTGTATGCTGTGAATATGAGGTTGAAAAGCCACAGCTGCTGTTGCAGAAAAGGTAGCCAGCCAAGTCAGTCTTATCTCTCTCTGTTTCTCTTACGCACACTCACATAATGTCTTGTATGCGCGCGCGCGCACACACACACACACACACACACACACACACACACACACACACACACATGCACGCACACACAAGTGCTGGTACAAATGGTTACCTATTCCTTGCTGCAGACAAAGGCAGCCTTTATCTGTGTACCTGGGCCAGGCTGCCCTGAGCACAGGACACCTGAGAGGGTGTGGGAACTGCTTATACTGATACACTCATATACAGTAGTGCAGCCACTGAGCCATATAAACACATCCAGACCACTGGTGCATAATGACACAAGTTTACTGGTGTCTGGATGTTATTACTGGCTGGTTCAACTGTAAATCCTGTTGTAGATGTACAGTCTTATCTAAACTTTACTTATGTGAACAATTTATTAGATTAAATATGAATTATTTCCTTGTTTACAGTGTATAGTTAAGGAAAAAAATAGTTTCTCTGCTTATCTTGTCTTTCAGTACTCTCCTAACTAATGAATGTTCACCTACAGTAATCCTCCATCTGCCAAGTGTCATAAATAAACAGAAAATTAGCTCTCTGTTCATTTGATCAACAGGCCTCAAAGATCCCAAAAACTGACAATAAGCCTCACTACATCTACCAAAACATCACACACACTGATCATGCATCGTGCTGATACAATTAAATTACGCTATTAAATTTTAAATGGCAAAGCCATGTAATTTCCCTTGTCATAGCAGGGTGTTATTTGTGACGGTTATGGACTTTGCTGTCAGGGACTCCCCCTGTAATTTCACTAGGCCGCTCTAAGACAGCGTGTCTGCATGCAGCAGTTAATGAATGGCACTCCGGCATGCCTTTAATGCCAGCAGCCATACGAGGAGCATTTTTAATTGTGATATTCTTCATCTTAAAGGTCTCAGAAAAATCCTTTAATAAAGTATATCACATAAATATGAACATAAATCCATGGCTGATTTAGCTCTATGACAAAAGCAAATGTTGTGTAATTGCACAATTAAAGTTTGTTGGTCAGGGGAAGATGAGGGGTGTTAAAATGGATAGTGGATTCACTGTTGGAGCGGTTTGTGGTTCATGAAGGTGAGTATGATGGTAACAGTTTTAAAGAGGTAGTATGGAAGATCCTTAATGTTTCAGACAAGACAATGAACACTGTATAACTGTGCATAGCTGGTAAGAGTTGTCAACTTATCTTGTGTGCATGGACATGGGTTTTACTGTTGATAAATGACTCAACAAACTCTTAGTAATTTCATAAGCTTTCTTAGGCTGGCAACAACAGCCTACTTTTATTTGCTGGGTGTGGGCCTGCAAAGCAGACTGCCAGACATTTATCGATCAAACATCAATGTCAAACATACCAGACAACAGCAGTACAGGTCTGACTGTGATGGACCTTTCAAACTCAACAGCATGGTGGCTGCTCTAGAAATGTCACTTTTCACTTAAACTGCAAAAATCAACTTTTAAATGTTTCTATCAAAACATTCCATGAAAGGACTGAAACTAACAGCAAACTGATCCAACTATGAATACAGGCACTCCAGTACATTTAGATTTATCCCCACATACACCATTCTGCTGCTTTAAATACTCACAAGACCACAAATCTGTATTAAACCACAGCTGAAAATAGATCCCAACATATGCACTATATACTCCAATGTTAGTTATGCTTGCTAAAAGCCATCACGCCCAGCTGTTTAATGAAATAATTTAGAAATCATTTAAAAATAAAATTATATATTTGTGACCCTTCAGCAGAAAACGGTTCCTCTATGGTCCTTCATTTGTATCTCAGTGCCACAGACAGGCTATGGAAGAAAAAGAATTACAACTAGCCTTATCCTTTAATTAAGTCAAGCAACATCAGCCTCTCAGTAGGGATAGCAGTTCTGACCAGTGTTGTTGTGGTCTTGCTTGGTAGTAGGGCTGACTGTGGCCAACCCTCAAGACATCACAGACTGGAACTAACATGTCCCAGAACTAAGATACAGATCTGGTAAGATGGTGGTTTTTTGTTACGTCAGTCTCTGCCTAATGATCTGATGTCTGTCACTGCACCCATGTTCATAAGCAAACTTAAAAACTATTTTCTCAGGCTTATGGTTCGTTACCTCCCCCAAGGGGGGGGTTATATTTTTGCCAGAGTTTGTTGGTTTGTTTATTTAATGGTTTGTTAACAGCATAATTCAAAATGAAGAGATTTGGAAAGGGCAGGGTATGGGCCACGGAACAATTGGTTAGATTTTGGTACTGATCCATATCAGAATTTGGATACAGGACTATTTTATTCACTGTTGTGAGTGCTAGAAAGGCTGCTGACTGTATGTGAGCTCCCTTGTGATCGAAGTGTCTGGCTGCACTGCTGAGCACTCCAAATACATATCAAGATAAATCCCTTGTCATGACAGCAGGTCACTGGAAACCAAGTGCTGTGACTCTGTACACTTCACTCTGTAAAGAATCA